CCTGATACAGAACCACCATGTCTGCATCAAACATCACTGCTTTGTTGTTTTTCAAAGCAAACTAAATTTATTCGAAGTGAAATGATGGCATAGCGATTCTTCTGGGACTGTTTCAAAAGCATCAGCACACTTCATATTTCACATGCTTGAAAACTTCCCCAATGTAAAACTTCTTTGTTTGGCAGTGAATACTGTCTCCTGGACTTGGGAGTACTTACAGATAGAAAAGCAAGGACAATTTTTCAAGATCCTCATTTAAATCACACCCAGTCGTCTTTGCTGCAACAAAAGGGGAAAACCTTGAATTGATGCAGCCCTATACCTGGGCCATTTCCTTTGAATGTTCTCAGAAACCCAAGGCTAGATGTACAATAACCTGAAGGCAGGCCATTATTAGTGGCTTCACATTCATGCAGTGATTTCGTACTGAATCATAGTGTTTCAGCTGCATTGCTATGGAATAGCATGCTGGTCTACCAATTTATCTGTTGTCATTACCTTGGCCTGTGTAAATTCATTTCCACCGAAAATCTCTCTGAGCATCCCTGCATTTCGGTCTGGACACAGTTTGTGGCTTGTATAGACATGAAAGAACCCATGCGCATTTTTGCAATACTTAAATAGTCAAAAGAGTATTGCTTTGTGAATCTGTTTTAAAAAATAATCCATTGGCCTACATATATAACCAAAATATGGTTGAAATTAGTAGCCCAGAGACATTTTAAATATATAAAAAGCTGGATTTAAATATAAAAAGAGCAATTATATGCAATTCACACTAATATCTGTGAATTAAATGATTTCATTATAGTCAGATGGGGAAACAAAAGTGTCTGAGTAGCTGTGCAGTGCATCAAAAACAGAAACAGGCCATCTGTCATATGCAGTGGGTGCTTGCAGCATAGATAGCTCTATTTTTTAATAGAAGCGATCTAGTTTTGTCATGTCATGACACTCACTTCCAAAGCAGACACTATGTCTCTGTTGTCATGATAATCAGCACTTTGAGGAATTATTCCCAGCCCGTTTGAAGCCAGTCATGGGGTCGGGATCTGGACCACGCTAATTGGTGACCTTTGGTCTAGACCACCATTAAACCACAAACACAAGATACCTGTCCCAGACTGATATCTTAGAATTCTGAACACCCTCAGAAAAAAAAAAAAAAAAAGGACAAAAGCTGTCACTGCATCGGTACCTTTTCAAAGGTACACTTAAGTTACCAATATGGACCCTTTAGGTACAAAGTTGTACCTTTTGGAAAGGTACCGCCCCAATGTCAGCTTTTGTACCGTTATTTCTGAGAGTGCACTATCCTGAACAAAATTACCATCCAGCTTCATGTAAACTTGTGCATTTATTGACATGCTACATTTTTGGACAAACTTCAAAGATAATCTGTGTCTAACGCTACATGATCTAGTTTTATCATAACCAAAATGGCATCTTCATGGGTCTTAAATGGAGGCATCTGGGACAATTTACACAACAAAACTCTTGCCTGCACAGACTTCCATGGATTGTGTGCATGAATAATCAACAAAACTGATACTATTGAAATATGTGGTTTATATATATATATATATATATATATATATTAAAACTAAAATATTCTCAGCATTTTAATATCCTCACCATTTTTCACGAAATAAATAAATGATATCATAATATTAAATGGTCAAGATGGATATTAACATCTGATTTCATGGTCAGCCAATATGCATTCTTTTTGCAAATTTTTAAGGGGGTGAGATTTCCTACATTTTTGAGAAGTATAAAACTGCACCAAAAGTCATTGTAGTTAATTTACTTTGTACACATAAAAGTGCAAAAATAGGACAGTTACCATAGCTTGATGTTTCTGTACCCTTTGAACAACTCAATTGGCGTTGACGGTCGGGTGGATCTCCATATCAATTGCTCACGCAATCTTAGCAATGAGCTTACGATACATTAAGCACAAAGCATGGCGATTTATTAGGACATTGTAATTATATCCTGGCAGAGCATTCGTGGTTTGGGTGGGGGTGTAGCAGTGGGCTAGCTCACACACAAAGACTCATTCGCCTCATTAGCTGCTGCATGCTACAGCATTAATCAGCATTTCACGTAATGGGATGCCACTGGAAGGACAATACCGCAACGTCTGCAGTTTACCAACCACACATCGATACTAGGCTTGGCAGGGAAAGAGGGTGGTTTACTTGACCTTGGTGGGTTGAGAGGCTTATTTCTGTTATGTGGGGAAAATGTAATTGACGGTGACATGTTTTGAGTGCTCGTGTGCGTCCATTTCTTTGTGTGCTATGAGTTCACTGTGCAATACTTAAAGGATTCTTGACAAGTTGAGGAGCACCTTCTAATTAGTGGCAGTTGCTAAGGTAACCACCATTACGATTGCTCTTAGTGATTCAGTTCAATTCTATTTAAAAGCTTTATTGTCTACTGTCTAAAGTCCTAACTCAAAGTATTAAACCGTGGTATATGACTAGTCCCTCAACAATTGGGTGAATAAATCAGGTGTCTTGTTGAGGAGAGGTGTGCTGTAATAAAACAGGTGATAAAATCTAAGAGATTTAAGAGTGGGCCTACCCAATCTTACAGGAAAACAACAATTTTACTAAGTGGAGATTTTGCATAAATTGGTATAATGTGAATCACCCAAAAACATATACGATTTTTGGGGAAGAAAAAAGAAAAAAAAAAAGTAAGCATGAAGGTCCAATGCTAATCATAACCATGACTGGGGCATTGGTAAATTGCATGAAAATGTACAAATATGTTTGTACGGATTCATAAAAATTAGCCACCAATTTGCCATAACATAAAATAGTTAAGAGTTGCATCTATATTTCGCAAGGAAGCCCAGTGGTGATAGCTGCATCATAGCATCAAGATCTACACATGTTTGTCAGGTTATGTAAAAACAGTGAGTGTGAAACACATAAACAACCCTGTGTTTTGAACCTTGACTAAAGCAATTTTAAAATCAAAATGACAACTTTAAGCTATCCATCAGTATCAGTTACATTAATATCAGCTCCTTTCAGTTAAGCGTAATCCAAATAAGGCTAGTTGGAAAAACATGCCTGTTGTGATATGTTATGTTGTTTTTTACGCAACACTTTCAGAGTGAAATGTCCAGTGAGTGGCGCTAAAAGCATGTTCAGTTTTATCTGAAACGGATGAGGTTTGCATTTGAAAACAGTGTACCCCTAAACCCCATCCTAAACCCTAGACTATAGTGCTAACAAAAACAAGTGTGAGATAAAACCACATTTACTGAAGTAACCATGCCATTTTATCTTGTTTCTACAAGTCATTCAATGTGTTTTATATTTCATGGGACTCGATTCACATTAACAACAAGTGACGTGTTATACCGGGTGCGCTACTGAGCAAGTTTACTATACCAGAAAATCCATACATATGGAGCTGGTTATGTGATGCAAACATCAACATATATTAGTTTACATATACTATGGTAAAAGTGTTTTAAGCTCATAACATAGTATTGTGCAAGAAACTGTCCATGTCCATTTCAACTGGAAACTTGTGTGAATTGTATGTTTAGATACTTTTTTGACCAAAAATGTAGTAGAGGCACATTTTCCCAGTTAGCCAAGGTTGGTGTAATCATATCCAAACCACAACACTGCTGAAATCCTTTCAGGTTTTCTTTTTAATACACCAGTTTGATCAAGACATTTAAGACTATCCAAATGATAATAATAAACACACTAAGGCTCAGCTGTTATTTCATCCATCTCTATAAATGTTAATAATTTGCCTTTTCTAAAATAACATTTTCCAAAAATTTTCAGACCTATGATTTGATTTTCTAATGATATGTCATCATGATATGAATTACGGGGAAACAAGATTAGATTTGCCCTGTGGTGTGAAAAAGTGGCAGAAACTCTTCGTCTCACCAGAATTCGTCAGCAGTATCAAGGGGTATTGTGTTAGAGTTTTGACTCCAGAAATGTTACTTTTATCCATGAAGTCTGAAAACTTGAATGCCTCTGTGAACCAGTATGTCCTTGAGCAAGACACTTAACCCATGTTCCCTTAGGTGCAACCGCAGCATGTTTCTACTGCATCCTTACCTGTTAGTTTAGAAAACGAGTAGAGTCTGCTCAGAGGCCACTCTTACACCAAACAGGCTGAGATTAGAAAATACTGGGACTGAACTGGCGTGAAACCATAAACCCCTTGTTTGCTGTGTGATTGCTGCTGACTTTGTGCAGTACAAACAAGCATTGGTCTTCTTATTAAATATAGCATTTTAATGAGAAATAGATTATTATTTGAAACATTCATTTTGAAGAAAGCCGATATAGTTATTTCAACAGAACAGCAGAAATTACATAAAGTACTTGAAAGCAGTTTCTCAACCCACTGAACGCTCTATCGGATAGTGTCTTACATGGTTTTAACAGAAGTGTATGGAAGGCTGTAAGCATGTGCTCGTGTAGATCATTAACAGATTTAGCTTGGACAAGATCCATTTCAGCTGGTGGTTTCTCCAGATGAGGGCAAATGTTTTTGTGGGGGACCTGCAATATTTACAGAACTTGTGCTCGAGGGGGGGGTTGTGTTGTGTTTAATGGGCTGTGGTTCATTTGCTGTAATCTAAGAAAAGCTTTTGATCCCATGGCTATATCAAGACAAAATAGGTATTTACACTTATATATACATTTAACTCTAATTCATTAACCAAGTTAAGTCTCCTCTCAAAAGGTTATTCATGCAGAGTACAGCAAGAAAGCTTTTGGCCCTGTCCCCATGAGTCAAGTGACATGTGTTTAGATTTCGATGGTATCTTCCTGTTAAACAAACCAAAAAAAAAAAGCATTAAAGGGATAGATAACAGGCACTTAATAAGATTGAATAATAATAATGACAATAAAATAATTCATGCTAATAATGATGGCATTCTCCCTATACTAGAAATGACTCTAGTTCTCTAAGGTTATTTTGCGCACACACACACAAACTTTTTTTTTTTTTGTTCATCCCTCTGAGAAATGTATGGCTTTATGCTGACCCTTAAAGAAAAGCAGAATGATCAAATTTTGTTCACGGTGCTGCAAAAAAGCTTGACACATCAGCGTACATTATGCGAAGCAGTACGAAATAGCATGAATCGATTATGTTCAACCATAGATACTGCACTCAGGCACCGAAGCGACTCGACCTCGCTGAAGAACAAGAGCGCAAATCTGAAAATACAACAGAGGGAGCCCACGCAGGATTCAGTTCACCTGGCGAGCGACAATAAATGGCAATCAAGAAAACTGGATGTCCAGCAATAAACAGTGGACGTCTGTACTGAACTCACTGCCAAGCTCTCTTAGAGGGTGTCGTATGAAAGGACAAGACACAGTACAGTCAATGAATCCTCATGCTGTATAAACCTCATCTAAAAGATGCATGATAACAACATGGTAGTGCCTCAAAGTAATTACTGTATTTTGGTTCTGCCCTTACGTAGTTGTCTTTACATCTCTAAAAATGTGTTAACCGGTAAAGAATGGCAGTTTAAGATGTACCTTTGTTCCCTCAAGTAAAATCAAGGCCTCTGTGTCACTGGATGTTGAATTTAATAGTAATAGTGATCTTTTCTCATATTCTTCTTTTTTAGGAAATGACAGACATGCTTCGACAAATATGATACAGTATTTTTTGTTTAGTTTTTTTCTTTTAGTGAACTAAAATGATTTATCTCTGTATTTTTAGTTTCCGTTTAACAATTACACTTACAAAGTTGTTAATAATACATCAAAAAAGCAAACCAAAAGGTTCCAAATCAAACGGAGAAATAATTTTTTTTTTTTCTTTGTCCTCAATACAACGTTGTGTCTTTCTAATTGTGTTTTCAGCAAAGTTTGGTAGTCAGGTGGTCTGATTGTTTTAAGATTTCTGTGTTGTACATGTCCAAGGCGTGATTCACGCGAATCATCTCGCTGTTGTTGAGCTTGAGCCGGTGTTTCAGCATACAGGAGAACAGGTCCAGCTGGGGCTTCCCAGGGGCCACCGGAGGGGCCAGACGGTTAATTCTCTCCCGTATGTCCAACAGCAGGAGCATGATGGACGAGGACGAGTAGAACTGGGTCCCCTGTGTGTATGACTGATTGACCTGCTGCACGGCGCTCCTCAGCAGGTCGGCGTTGAATCGCAGGCTGTAGCCGAACACTTGTATGTCGGAGATCTTAATGTAGATCTGTCGCTTGTTGGGGTCGGATAAGTCCACCGGGCCCTGGCCCGTGTCATTCCGCAGGACAGTGGGCACCTTAGCGCGGCTTCGCAGGTAGATGTGCACCGTCTCGAAGAAGGTCTTCCAGCGGTTTCCCAACAGCAGGGTCCAGTTAAAGCACTGCGAGTTCTGCAGTCGCACCTTCTCCCAGCGCGGGTATCCGTGCTCACCGAACGGCATGCTCCAACCCTCTGAGTGGCTTCCGCTGAACGGGTTGACGTAAACGAAGAACATTGGGTCCACGCTGCTGTTGCGCATCTGGCAGATCTTCATGGACAGGCCTACGATCATGTGCAGGTAGTCCATGCGGTTCTTGTTGCTCTTGAGCGTCAGCGACATGCGCTTGCGCCACCGCGGGTCGAAGAAGGTCTCCAGGCGCACCTCATTGCTGATGAAGGTCGTGTGGATGTGCAGCCGCGAGTCCATCTTCTGCAGCAAATACTTGAGCTCCAGATCCTGGAAGTCCAGGTCCGTCTCGAAGCTGATGAACTGCTCGCTGCGCTCCGAGTCCACGTTCTGCGGCTCGCAGCGCCCGCGGTACAGCTTGTAGCCCTTGTTGCAGGAGCCGCATTGCGAGATGTTGGCCAGGCTGCACATGGCGCAGCTGTTGTTGCCGCCGATCACGCAAGGGATGGGCCGCTGGCAAAGGGTGGCACCCGTGTGGCACACGCATGTGCGCTGGCTCTCCAGAAAGGTTCCCCAGAAGCCGTTCTCATTGCAGTAGAGGAACGACTGCACTCGGTTCAGCCACTGTAGCACCGATCTGAAAGCAGAAAGATAATACAGTCAAGGCAGGTGGGTAGAAGGATCCATTAATAATGCAGCGTTAAGTCCAAAGGCACAAAGCTTGCGCCTCAGCCTCCTGACATTTGTTACAGTCTAATCACTAAAATGGATAATGTATTCTGTCAAATTTTCCCAATGCACACCTCGTCTTTTCTCTCCCCGCAGGCATTTTGCCTTGTCATTCTGAAAGCCTTTGGAGCTTCTCTTCTGCAAGAGGGGAGAACTGAACACCTGAATTTTGATTTCTACAAAGTGCTAAAGGTTACGATGACATGCTAATGAGCCCAGAGTGCAACAGAGTCGGATGTGGGATATTCCTACTTGATATCTCTGTCTTCCATTTGACGTTAGAGACACAAAAAGGCAATGCTACATTTAGCTGTGCAGTTCTTTGATTGCTGACAAAGAATTCTCCTTGCAACCAAGGAGGACAAACGATGACTCTATGCAGTGCTAGCATTTGTTTGGCAAAAAAGTGTGATTGTAAACAGAGGATCATTTACCTTGTTTTATCATGTAATATATGACATTTGATTTATGGATGTATATTATTTGCATAGAAGCGAATGTTTAGTAGGCATGCACGGGTACTGATACTGGCATCGTTATTGGGCTAGATACTCTCAAGTCACATTTATGATAATAATAATAATAATAATAATAATAATAATAATAATAATAATAAATAGTGTTAATGCTTAAAATTAATAATAAAAATAATTTAAATTTCAGCAGCTCTACAGAAGACAATTGTGTCATTATTCGGCTCAAGTCAGTTCAGTGTGGATTCATTTCAGTTTGTTGCAGCTATGTTTCCATCCACATACTTTTATTTATTTTTAATCATTTTCACATAAAAAAATGCTGGATGGAAATGCCGAGATTAAAAAATAAAAAAATAAATAAATAATAACACAAATCTCATAAAATCTTAAATTAGACATTTCTGAGCTCAATTTAGGCTCATTTTATTATTATTATTATTATTATTATTACTACTACTATGATTATTATCCAATAAGAAAACACTTGCTTAAACTATAATGGGAACACATTTGCTATTTATTATTTATTACATATTTATTGTTTTCTTGAATACATGGGATATAAACTGTGCTTTATTCGCAAATATTTGCTATATGGTAATTTTCTGTATAAGTTGAGGTAACAAGTTTGGATGGAAACATAGCTAGCGTTGATGTTGCAAAGAGTCATTATTCTGCTCAATTCAGTTCAACCTGTCTTCTCATTCGATAGGTTAAAAAATGATAAAATAAACAAATAAACAATAAAAATGAACAGTGAAAGTAACTGAAACTTGTACAATACCTTTAACAGCCACAATTAAGCATTTAAATGAATAAAAGAAACATTTTCTGAATCTTTTTCTTTCTTTGATATTAGTTGATGAATATAATATGATGATGATGAACTGAATTGAGAATTGCATGAGATGGAAGTTTGATTTTAAGTGCTGTTCTATTGTACTCTTTCAAGTAGGACATTGCAATATACATTTTAAATGTTGAATTGAACTCAAACTGTGATCAGCATAGAATCTCTCAGACTGAGCCTAAATACTTTCAGTCTACCATGTTTGATTTCAACCATATTAGCCAGGCAATGTAAATGACGTATCCCTGCACAAACCACAAAACCTGTGCGACCCAGTGTAAGTGTGATTCATCACACCCTAACTAATCATATCATAGTTTTCCTATTTGAAATACAAACACATTTATGAAATGAGATGTGCAATGGAAATTGAAAGCAACAAATATGAGCATTCCTTCATTAGTCAGTTATTGTGAACTTTATGCAATTTCCACAGACTATCAATAGTGAAATGAAACTGTAAACTTATAAGCATCTCTCATAATAGAATTACACATGGCATTCAATCTATATAAATAAAGCAATATTCCTAGCCAAATGTTATTTGATTTTCAGTTTACTCCAGATTACCTGACCAATAAAAAGCTTAAGATTAGTCCTTTGGATTTGAAGCCATACGCAGTCGACTTGCTTGTGGCATTTAATATTGCATTTTCCATATTTATTCGCAATAAGCAAGCTTTATGCTGTCTGACTCCCATGTGTTATATTCTCTAACTGCTTTCCCCAATATGGATTTCAGAGTGGTTTGCTGGTTTTATTTTGCACAATTATTTGTTTTGCTGAAACAAGTGGCTAACTTGAGTTTGCCGTGGGGGATGAGATGGAGAAGACGAGGAAGAATGCTGTTTGTTTTCATATCCGCATGTTTGTAATGGCGCATCAAAGCGCTCTGCTGCACAGACTGTGTGACGTGCATCACCCCAATTTCTCTCCTAATGGATAATGGAGGAGAGGAGAGAGAGCAGACTGTAGATGTAAGCCATACAGTGTGAGGAGGAGGCCTGAATGTAGGGTTAATTTCTTTTATTAAATTAAAGATGCTGCAAGTGATACTGCAACCTGTCAGATATCACCGAAACACAGTATGTGTTAGCTGTCTCCGTGTCGGCACTAGACTCCATAGACGGGTGGGGGGGATTTGACCATGCTCTGCACATGTTAGTCAGACAGAGAACTTGGAAGCGTCTCTGAAACATGCAGTGTTATTTATAACAAACCTAAACTAAAGCCATACAAAGTTATAATAATTAAAGACCAACAATAATAAATATAATGAACATGTAAAATAAAATATTTAAACTTATTTTATGTCATCGAGTTGCCAAATAAACAGTTTTACTTGATGTACTAAACTAAATAAACCTAAAACTGAAATTAAAATTAATACAAAATTATAAAGACAAAAAAATATGCCTGTAAGAAGAATAAAGAGACAATTAAGTCTCTTAATGCCTAAAAGACAATAAAAATACTTAAATAAATATGCACATATTATATATAAAACACTAAATAATTAGACACTTTAATAAACATGATAAACATTTAAAATAACAATATATACATAAAAAACTGTATTATTCAATTTCAGTTAATTGCCACATTTGATCCTATTCATGTGTAGGATATCAGACCGAATCAGACAATCTAAGATTTGGTCAAAACATGGTTGAAACATGAGGAGCCAAATTCCACAGAGGCCCAAGACAACAGGATGTTCATAAATCAGACCCTAGCACTAGCCAGTCTGAAGCAAGCCTAACCAACTCTTTCACAGAACAGCTTTCAACATTAACACAAAAGGAACACACTGATCATAACAACTCAGGAAGGAGATTGTCAATTTTAGGGCAAGTAATCAAGATTAAATGGTCAAAGAGATGACAGCATGACCATCACGTGATAGTAACCACAATCACGAGCTCTGTGGATTGACTTCCCCCCCACCTAGGAGACAAAGAACAGACTGAGATTCCTTACAGACATTTTAACCTCTCTGGTCTTCACAGAACGCATCCTTACATTCACAGAATGGCTATAGAAACTGCCTTTCCATGCATATAAATGACACTAAAAGGACTTATGAGTAACTAATCATTTCTATGCATAACTCCATATTATGTATCTAACCCACATATTAGACTATCACGTTTTAATCATTTATTGTGTATGTATTTTGAATAACTAATGAATAGTTTATAGGATCACATTCATGTTTAGTATGTGTGTGTTTGAATCTTCTTGCTGGAAACGTTTCTTCCAATCAATT